ATGAGGAATGGAGCGGGCGGATGCGGAGTGCATTTAAGCGCTACAAGCTGCTGAAACTTGCAATGGGAGAAGAGAAGATGCCCGAGGAAGGAGATGCCCGCGATCGGTGGATTGAGCGGAGCGCAGTGCTGTACGACTTGATTCTACAGTCGGTCAACAACGACATGTTCCAGCACATCAAGGATTTGGTGGAGCTCGATGACTCGGGACCGAAGGCGTGGAAGCTGCTACGCGACGTGGTTCAACCCAACACGCTGCCCATGGTGATCGTATTGGAGAAGGAGCTGGCTGCCCTCTCCATGCGGCCGGGAGATGATGTGAAGCCGGCCCTTGACAAGATCAAGGACACCTATGCGAGGATGGCAGCGGCGGGCAGCAAGGTGTCGGAGATGCAGCAGTGCACCAAAATCATCTCGGTACTCGACAACTCGTGGGACAACCTTATCCCCACCCTCAACGCTCAGCAGGACAAGTGGACGCCTGAGTGGCTACGGCAGCAGATCCTGCAGGAGGACTTCCGCAGGCGCCACACGGGAGGTGGTGCTGCCAACAAAACTGCTGAGGGGTATGGAGCTGCAGGAGGCAGCAGGGGGAGAGGGGGAGGGAGAGGCCGAGGCCGTGGGAGAGGCTTTGGCAGAGGAAGAGGCCGAGGTGACTACAACGAGGGGCATGGGAGCTCTGGTGGCACGGGGAGCACCCGAATGGAGGGTGCGTGCTGGTACTGCAAGAAGGCTGGACACCCGTGGTTCAAGTGTTTCAGCCGGCCTGAAGGATGGGCGCCTCCAGGCATGAAGCCGCCAAGTGGTGAACGTGCACGAGGTGGTGCTGTGCAAGGTTCAGGTGCACAAGGTGATGGTGCACAAGGTAAAGCCGACCCTGGGATGTTCCTCATGGTTGAGGATGTGCAAGGGAGTGGGGGTGATGTGGGTTCAGAGCATCGCGACGCTCTGGGGCGTCCGGGTAGAGCATCGCGACGCTTTGGGGCATCGGGGGAGAGCATCGCAACGCTCTGGGGCGTCCGGGGAGAGCATCGCGACGCTCTGGGGCGTCCGGGTAGAGCATCGCGACGCTCTTCGGCGTCCGGGGAGAGCATCGCGACGCTCTGGGGTGTCTGGGGAGAGCATCACGACGCGCTGGGGCGTCCGGGTAGAGCATCGCGATGCTCTGGGGCGTCCGGGGAGAGCATCTCGACGCTCTGGGGCGTCCGGGGAGAGCATCGCGACGCTCTGGGGCGTCCGGGGAGAGCATCATGACGCTCTGGGGCGGCTGAGGAGAGCATCGCGACGCTCTGGGGCGTCCGGGTAGAGCATCGCGACGCTTTGGGGCATCGGGGGAGAGCATCGCAACGCTCTGGGGCGTCCGGGGAGAGCATCGCGACGCTCTGGGGCGTCCGGGTAGAGCATCGCGACGCTCTTCGGCGTCCGGGGAGAGCATCGCGACGCTCTGGGGTGTCCGGGGAGAGCATCACGACGCGCTGGGGCGTCCGGGTAGAGCATCGCGATGCTCTGGGGCGGCTGGGGAGAGCATCGCGACGCTCTGGGGCGTCCGGGTAGAGCATCGCGACGCTCTTCGGCGTCCGGGGAGAGCATCTCGACGCTCTGGGGCGTCCGGGGAGAGCATCGCGACGCTCTGGGGCGTCCGGGGAGAGCATCATGACGCTCTGGGGCGGCTGAGGAGAGCATCGCGACGCTCTGGGGCGTCCGGGTAGAGCATCGCGACGCTTTGGGGCATCGGGGGAGAGCATCGCAACGCTCTGGGGCGTCCGGGGAGAGCATCGCGACGCTCTGGGGCGTCCGGGTAGAGCATCGCGACGCTCTTCGGCGTCCGGGGAGAGTATCGCGACGCTCTGAGGTGTCCGGGGAGAGCATCACGACGCGCTGGGGCGTCCGGGTAGAGCATCGCGATGCTCTGGGGCGGCTGGGGAGAGCATCGCGATGCTCTGGGGCGTCCGGGTAGAGCATCGCGACGCTCTGGGGCGTCCGGGGAGAGCATCGCGACGCTCCGGGGCTTGCGGGGAAAGTATCGCGATGCTCTGGGGCGTCCGGAGAGAGCATCGTGATGCTCTGCGGCATCCGAGGAGAGCATCGCGACGCTCTAGGGCGTCGGGGAGAGCATAGCGACGCTCTGGGGCGTCCGATGAGAGCATCGCGACGCTCTCGGGCGTCCGGGGAGAGCATCACGACGCTCTGGGGCGGCTGGGGAGAGCATCGCAACGCTCTGGGGCGTCCGGGTAGAGCATCGCGACGCTCTAGGGAGTCCGGGGAGAGCATCGCGACGCTCTGGGGCGTCCGGAGAGCATCGCGATGCTCTGGGGCGTCCTGGGAGAGCATCGCGACGCTCTGGGTCGTCCGGGGAGAGCATCGCGACGCTCTGGGGCGTCCGGGGAGAGCATCGCGACGCTCTGGGGCGTCCGGGGAGAGCATCGCGACGCTCTGGGGCGTCCGGGGAGAGCATCGCGACGCTCTGGGGCGTCCGGGGAGAGCATCGCGACGCTCTGGGGCGTCCGGGGAGAGCATCGCGATGCTCTGGGGCGTCCGGGGAGAGCATCGCGACGCTCTGGGGCGTCCGGGTAGAGCATCGCGACGCTCTAGGGCGTCCGGGGAGAGCATCGTGACGCTCTGGGGCGTCCAGGGAGAGCATCGCGACGCTCTGGGGCGTTCGGGGAGAGCATCGCGACGCTCTGGGGCGTCCGGGGAGAGCATAGCAACGCTCTGGGGCGTCCGGGGAGAGCATCGCGACGCTCTTGGGCGTCCGGGGAGAGCATCGCGACGCTCTGGGGCGTCCGGGGAGAGCATCGCGACGCTCTGGGGCGGCCGGGGAGAGCATCGCGACGCTCTGGGGCGTCCGGGGAGAGCATCACGACGCTCTGGGGCGTCTGGGGAGAGCATCGCGACGCTTTGGGGCGTCCGGGTAGAGCATCGCGACGCTCTGGGGCGTCCGGGGAGAGCATAGCGACGCTCTGGGGCGTCCGGGGAGAGCATCGCGACGCTCTGGGGCGTCCGGGGAGAGCATCGCGACGCGCTGGGGCGTCCGGGGAGAGCATCGCAACGCTCTGGGGCGTCCGGGTAGAGCATCACGACGCTCTGGGGCGTCCAGGGAGAGCATCGTGACGCTCTGGGGCGTCCGGGGAGAGCATCGTGACGCTCTGGGGCGTCCGGGGAGAGCATCGCGACGCTCTGGGGCGTCCGGGGAGAGCATTGCGACGCTCTGGGGCGTCCGGGGAGAGCATCGCGATGCTCTGGGGCGTCCGGGGAGAGCATCGCGGCGCTCTGGGGCGTCCGGGGAGAGCATCGCGACGCTCTGGGGCGTCCGGGGAGAGCATCGCGACGCTCTGGGGCGTCCGGGGAGAGCATCGCGACGCTCTGGGGCGTTCGGGGAGAGCATCGCGACGCTCTGGGGCGTCCGGGGAGAGCATCACGACGCGCTGGGGCGTCCGGGGAGAGCATCGCGACGCTCTGGGGCGTCCGGGTAGAGCATCGCGACGCTCTGGGGCGTTCGGGGAGTGCATCGCGACGCTCTGGGGCGTCCGGGGAGAGCATCACGACGCTCTGGGGCGTCCGGGGAGAGCATCGCGACGCTCTGGGGCGTCCTGGGAGAGCATCATGACGCTCTGGGGCGGCTGAGGAGAGCATCGCGACGCTCTGGGGCGTCCGGGTAGAGCATCGCGACGCTTTGGGGCATCGGGGGAGAGCATCGCAACGCTCTGGGGCGTCCGGGGAGAGCATCGCGACGCTCTGGGGCGTCCGGGGAGAGCATAGCGACGCTCTGGAGCGTCCGGGGAGAGCATCGCGACGCTCTGGGGCGTCCGGGGAGAGCATCGCGACGCGCTGGGGCGTCCGGGGAGAGCATCGCGACGCTCTGGGGCGTCCGGGGAGAGCATCACGACGCGCTGGGGCGTCCGGGAAGAGCATCGCGACGCTCTGGGGCGTCCGGGTAGAGCATCGCGACGCTCTGGGGCGTTCGGGGAGAGCATCGCGATGCTCTGGGGCGTCCGGGGAGAGCATCACGACGCTCTGGGGCATCCGGGGAGAGCATCGCGACGCTCTGGGGCGTCCGGGTAGAGCATCGCGACGCTCTGGGGCGTCCGGGGAGAGCATCGCGACGCTCTGGGGCGTCCGGGGAGAGCATCGCAACGCTTTGGGGCGTCCGGGGAGAGCATCGCGACGCGCTGGGGCGTCCGGGTAGAGCATCGCGACGCTCTGGGGCGTCCGGGTAGAGCATCGCGACGCTCTGGGGCGTCCGGGGAGAGCATCGCGACGCTCTGGGGCGTCCGGGGAGAGCATCGCGACGCTCTGGGGCGTCCGGGGAGAGCATCGCGCCGCTCTGGGGCGTCCGGGTAGAGCATCGCGACGCATTGGGGCGTCCGGGGAGAGCATCGCGACGCTCTGGAGCGTCCGGGGAGAGCATCGCGACGCTCTGGGGCGTCCGGGTAGAGCATCGCGACGCTCTTCGGCGTCCGGGGAGAGCATCTCGACGCTCTGGGGCGTCCGGGGAGAGCATCGCGACGCTCTTGGGCGTCCGGGGAGAGCATCATGACGCTCTGGGGCGGCTGAGGAGAGCATCGCGACGCTCTGGGGCGTCCGCGTAGAGCATCGCGACGCTTTGGGGCATCGGGGGAGAGCATCGCAACGCTCTGGGGCGTCCGGGGAGAGCATCGCGACGCTCTGGGGCGTCCGGGGAGAGCATCGCGATGCTCTGGGCCGTCCGGGGAGAGCATCGCGACGCTCTGGGGCGTCCGGGGAGAGCATCGCGACGCTCTGGGGGGTCCGGGGAGAGCATAGCGACGCTCTGGGGCGTCCGGGGAGAGCATCGCGACGCTCTGGGGCGTCCGGGGAGAGCATCACGACGCTCTAGGGCGGCTGGGGAGAGCATCGCGACGCTCTGGGGCGTCCGGGTAGAGCATCGCGACGCTCTGGGGCGTCCGGGGAGAGCATAGCGACGCTCTGGGGCGTCCGAGGAGAGCATCGCGACGCTCTGGGGCGTCCGGGGAGAGCATCGCGATGCGCTGGGGCGTCCGGGGAGAGCATCGCGACGCTCTGGGGCGTCCGGGGAGAGCATCGCGACGCTCTGGGGCGTCCGGGGAGAGCATCGCGACGCTCTGGGGCGTCCGGGTAGAGCATCGCGACGCGGTGGGGCGTCCGGGGAGAGCATCGCGACGCTCTGGAGCGTCCGGGGAGAGCATCGCGACGCTCTGGGGCGTCCGGGTAGAGCATCGCGACGCTCTTCGGCGTCCGGGGAGAGCATCGCGACGCTCTGGGGTGTCATCACGATGCGCTGGGGCGTCCGGGAAGAGCATCGCGACGCTCTAGGGCGTCCGGGTAGAGCATCGCGACGCTCTGGGGCGTCCGGGGAGAGCATCGCGACGCTCTGGGGCATCCGGGGAGAGCATCACGACGCTCTGGGGCGTCCGGGGAGAGCATCGCGACGCTCTGGGGCGTCTGGGTAGAGCATCGCGACGCTCTGGGGCGTCCGGGGAGAGCATAGCGACGCTCTGGGGCGTCCGGGGAGAGCATCGCGACGCGCTGGGGCGTCCGGGGAGAGCATCGCGACGCTCTGGGGCGTCCGGGGAGAGCATCGCGACGCTCTGGGGCGTCCCGGTAGAGCATCGCGACGCACTGGGGCGTCCGGGGAGAGCATCGCGACGCTCTGGGGCGTACGGGGAGAGCATCGCGACGCTCTGGGGCGTCAGGGGAGAGCATCGCGACGCTCTGGGGCGTCCGAGGAGAGCATCGCGATGCTCTGGGGCGTCCGGGGAGAGCATCGCGATGCTTTGGGGCGTCCGGGGAGAGCATCGCGATGCTCTCCCGCTTTCCTTTACCCCGCCCCATTCTCCCTCCTTCCATCACCCCGCCCCATTCTCCCTCCTTCCATCTCCCCGCCCCATTCTCCCGCTTTCCATCACCCCGCCCCATTCTCCCGCTTTCCCTCACCCCGCCCCATTCTCCCGCTCTCCATTACCCCGCCCCATTCTCCCGCTTTCCATCACCCCGCCCCATTCTCCCGCTTTCCATCACCCCGCCCTTTTCTCCTGCTTTCCATCACCCTGCCCCATTCTCCCGCTTTCCATCACCCCGCCCCATTTTCCCGCTTTCCATCACCCCGCCCCATTCTCCCGCTTTCCATCACCCGCCCCATTCTCCCGCCTTCCATCACCCCGCCCCATTCTCCCTCCTTCCATCACCCCGCCCCATTCTCCCGCCTTCCATCACCCCACCCAATTCTCCCGCTTTCCATCACCCCGCCCCATTCTCCCGCTTTCCATCACCCCGCCCCATTCTCCCGCTTTCCACCACCTTGCCCCATTCTCCCGCTTTCCATCACCCCGCCCCATTCTCCCACTTTCCATCACCCAGCCCCATTCTCCCTCCTTCCATCACCCCGCCCCATTCTCCCGCTTTCCATCACCCCACCCCATTCTCCCTCCTTCCATCACCCCGCCCCATTATCCCTCCTTCCATCACCCCGCCCCATTCTCCTGCTTTCCATCACCCCGCCCCGTTCTCCCTCCTTCCATCACCGCGCCCCATTCTCCCTCCTTCCATCACCCCGCCCCATTCTCCCGCTTTCCATCACCCCGCCCCATTCTCCCGCTTTCCATCGCCCCATTCTCCCGCTTTCCATCACCCCGCCCCATTCTCCTGCTTTCCATCACCCCGCCCCATTCTCCCGCTTTCCATCACCCCGCCCCATTCTCCCGCTTTCCATCACCTTGCCCCATTCTCCCTCCTTCCATCACCCCGCCCCATTCTCCCGCTTTCCATCACCCCCCCACATTCTCCCTCCTTCCATCACCCCGCCCCATTCTCCCTCCTTCCATCACCCCGCCCCATTCTCCCTCTTTCCATCACCCCGCCCCATTCTCCCGCTTTCCATCTCCCCGCCCCATTCTCCCTCCTTCCGCCCCATTCTCCCTCCTTCCATCACCCCGCCCCATTCTCCCGCTTTCCATCACCCCGCCCCATTCTCCCGCTTTCCATCACCCCGCCCCATTCTCCCGCTTTCCATCACCCCGCCCCATTCTCCCGCTTTCCATCACCCCGCCCCATTCTCCCTCCTTCCATCAACCCGTCCCATTCTCCCTCCTTCCATCACCCCGCCCCATTCTCCAGCTTTCCATCACCCCGCCCCATTCTCCCGCTTTCCATCACCCCGCCCCATTCTCCTTCCTTCCATCACCCCGCCCCATTCTCCCGCTTTCCATCACCCCGCCCCATTCTCCCGCTTTCCATCACCGTGCCCCATTCTCCCGCTTTCCATCACCCTACCCCATTCTCCCGCTTTCCATCACCCCGTCCCATTCTCCCGCTTTTCATCACCCCGCCCCATTCTCCCTTCTTCCATCACCCCGCCCCATTCTCCCGCTTTCCATCACCCCGCCCCATTCTCCCGCTTTCCATCGCCCCGCCCCATTCTCCCGCCTTCCATCACCCCGCCCCATTCTCCCGCTTTCCATCACCCCGCCCCATTCTCCCGCTTTCCATCACCGCGCCCCCTTCTCCCGCTTACCATCACCCCGCCCCATTCTCCCGCTTTCCATCACCTCGCCCCATCTCCCGCTTTCCATCACCCCGCCCCATTCTCCCTCCTTCCATCACCCCGTCCCATTCTCCCTCCTTCCATCAACCCGCCCCATTCTCCCGCTTTCCATCACCCTGCCCCATTCTCCCTGCTTCCATCACCTTTCCCCATTCTCCCTCCTTCCATCACCCCGCCCCATTCTCCCTCTTTCCATCACCCCGCCCCATTCTCCCGCTTTCCATCTCCCCGCCCCATTCTCCCTCCTTCCGCCCCATTCTCCCTCCTTCCATCACCCCGCCCCATTCTCCCGCTTTCCATCACCCCGCCCCATTCTCCCGCTTTCCATCACCCCGCCCCATTCTCCCGCTTTCCATCACCCCGCCCCATTCTCCCGCTTTCCATCACCCCGCCCCATTCCCCCTCCCCGCCCCATTCTCCCGCTTTCCATCACCCCGCCCCATTCTCCTTCCTTCCATCACCCCGCCCCATTCTCCCGCTTTCCATCACCCCGCCCCATTCTCCCGCTTTTCATCACCCCGCCCCATTCTCCCTTCTTCCATCACCCCGCCCCATTCTCCCGTTTTCCATCACCCCGCTGTTGAATGCACGTCATTCTGAGTGCATGTCATCCTAACGTCATGCCGAGTGCTCGTGCTATTTGTGCTTGCATGATTTGCATGAGCGTATGTCATTATGCATGGCTGTTGGATATTACCATCTCTGTGTTTTTATCCAAGTCTACATGCTTGATCATGCAGGAGAAATCCAGAGCTTTTCAACGATACCAAGATCGCCTTATTCCGACCAAGATCGCCCAAGTTACAAGAATTCCAAGACTTGGATTTCTTATTACCTTTTTGGGTTATATCTATTTTGGGTGATTACTTGGGACATGACTATAAAGGGATCTTTGGTTGGGTGGTTAGGGAAGGCAACTTTGACTTTTGGATTGGGGTGGCTAGAAGTTTCTAGCATGGGTAGCAAATGTTGCAGCACCTAGGCAAAATCCAACTAGATTGGATTTTGCATGTGACACCTCAAGGACCTCATGATGAGGGTTGCATCCTTGCTGCTAGGAAGGTTCCTACCATCCTTCCCTAGCTATTGGAGAACCCCTTCCCTCTCATGGTTCTCTTGGAGTCCCCAACTCCAACTTCCTATGCCTTAATGTTTGTACTTCCTCCACCATTCTAGTGATGCAGCTGTTGGACGTTTTCAATCGGTTCTCACTCTATAGACCATCTTAACAACTGATTCAACCTGAAGATGGTAGCTAAGCCTAAGGCGCATTATCTCACTGAGCGGATTTGCGTTTAGTTGAGTAATGAGTTCGTCGTAAGCTCTCAAAGTGACGGATCCTGAACAACAAGTGGTATCAGAGCGGGTAGTCGACTTTGAGACGACGAATCGTCGTGAATTCTCAACCAAGGTTGTCGAGTGAGACCATTTTCTAGAAGCTCTGCTCGCGAACGTTCGAGTGGTGGTCGAACCGCGTTCTAGTTCGAAGTATCCAGTCCGCGACGGCGATTTTTGTAGAATCGAAATTTCTGGCAGAATTCTCTCCAAACGATTTCTCAAGTTTCCACCGTTCATAAGGCCTCAATATGGTTGGTACGAACTCCGGAGGTGCTAGTGGCGAGATGGATAGAAGTAGAGAGGCTGGAGAGCAGGGGGGAGTTGCTGGTGGAGGAGTGGGGACTCACCAACCAGCCAACCCTACGCTACCTACTTCTTCTACACCATCTCCTACTACCGTGGATCCTGTGAAAGCTTTCTCTATTGAGAAATTCATGGGGGAGGACTACGAGCACTGGAGCTTCCGCATGAGGCTGATGTACACCCAATACAAGCTATTGGATCTGGTGGAGGGGAAGGAGAAAATGCCGGAGGCCGCGGAGCTGAAAGGAGCGTGGATGAAGCGATCGTTTGACGCGTACATGCTAATGGTGCAAGCGGTTGGCGGGCGACAACTTGACCACATCAAGGACCTCTTGGGTGATCCAGAGTGTGGCCCTAAGGCTTGGAGGATTCTTCTGGATGTGCACTCACCGACACATGCTACCGGCATCGTGCTACTCGCGCGGCTGCTGCGCGACATCAAGTTCGTTGATGGAGAGCCGATGCAACCGGTATTGGATGAGATGCGGGACATCTTTACGAAGCTCCAAGGCAGCGGTGTGGTGTACCCGGAGCTCGTGCAATGCGTCGAGATTGTTGTTAGGGACTAAGGACGGAGTCTATGAAGATTAGGTGCCTAAATTTCTCAAAATCGTTGGTCCCTATTTCTGGACAGAATAGTTGCGCTCACAAGAAACGCCGTCGACGAAAAGTGCACAGTCAAAACTTCACTTAACTCATATATGTTGTAGCCCTACTCCGTGGCTACAATTCCCAAGTTGAAACGTATCAAGAGGTGAAGTAAATCTCGACTTATCAATTTCGGCGCACAGGGGGGTATGCTGCCATAAGAACTTAACTCAATCACAAAGTTCACACAAGTTCACACAAGAGAATTAGAGTAGCACTAAACCAGGTGGAAGGGATAAGGAGGACGAGAGGGAAGGTCCCAAGAGAGTCCCCAACCAAGGAAACCCCATGCCATACAATTCCCTTCCCCATAGGCAACCCAACTTTGACCTTTGTCACTATCCCAACCTCCACAATCCACCTCAACCCAACTTGGCCACACTTGCCAACCTGGTTTGGTTTCTCCCAACCATTTGGCAGCAACTACAGTAGAAAAGATGAATTTCCCAACCCCCAAAAGTCTGTACCCCATATTGAGTCAACCCCACAACTTCCCATAGTCACCACAACCAAATATCAAAAGCATACGAACTCCAACGTTCGTGACTTTCTAGTTCGTGCTCCGATTGAAGCGATACTTGGTTCCTCGGAAAGCTCTTGAGCAGAGGAGTCACTTCAGATATCTGCTCAAGCCAAATAACATTCACACACACACTCAGAAAAACCAAACCGCACAAAACACAAATTCTTGCACACACTCACAACACGCATGCAACGCACGAACATATGATGGGAGGCAGACAGACGTGAATGCGAATGGTAGCATCACTCAACAAACTCCCCCTCTGGCTGCCAACCATCATCCCACATGCCATAGCTCAAGCATGCATCCTCAATGCACACTCATCCCAGCAAGCTTCATGCCCTTCCAATGCTCAGATTCAGCCAGGCGCTTGGTGAGAATGTCAGCCGCCTGCTGATGGGTCTTCACAATCTCCAGCCGCACCTCCTTGTCCAGGAGCCTCCTCACCCAGTGCCACTTAGGCCTGATGTGTTTGGTCAGCCCATGAAGACAAGCATTCTTTGCTAGCTTCACCGCCGACTCATTGTCACAGAAAATCACAGTCGGCTCCCTCTGACCAACTCCAATCTCCTCCAACAAACGCCTCAGCCACACCACCTCCTTTGCCCCATGATGCAGGGCCATGTACTCTGTCTCACACGAGGACTGCCCCACCTCATTCTGCTTCTTACTGCGCCAGCTCACTGCACCACCTCCGAACAGGCACACATAGCCTCCAATGCTGGTGCCATCCGCTTTCACCGAGTTGAAGCTAGCGTCAGTGTAGCAGGTCAGGAGCATCTCCCCCTTGCTCAAATCAGCTGCACTCCTCTGCAGCCTCTGCCTCACAGCACTGTACTCCAAACCCACTGATGCCGTTGCACTCACATAGCGGACCAACCTCTTGGCCGCTTCCAGCTGCTCATGACTGGGGCGTGAAACCACACTGGCAAGCCTGGATGTTGCAAAGGCAATGTCAGGCCGTGTGTGGTTAGCCGCATAGTTGAGTGCCCCAACCATGGAATGAAAAAGTTTCCTGTCACTCTCACCCACCACCTCCTCATCAGCACAGGGCTCCACAGTGAACCCCGAAGGCAGTGGGGTGGCTGGCTTTCCTCCATCTTGCAGCCCATACTTCTCAGCCAGCCCCTCACAATACTTTCTCTGGTGCAACCTCAACACTCCCTTGTCAAGGTCCCTCTCCACATGCATCCCTAAATAGTACTTCACATCTCCCATCTTGGAGCACTTAAACTGCATCTCCAGCATCTCCTCCACATGCTCAATCATTGCAGACGACTCAGAGAAGAGCAGGATGTCATCCACATACACCAGGAGCATGAGAAACTGCTCCTTCTCCTGCAGCAGGAACAAGCTGTGATCACACTCACTCTTCTTGAAACCCCCAGCCAGCAGAGTCTCCTCTAACTTGTGGTACCATGCACGAGGAGCCTGCTTCAGGCCATAGATGGCCTTCTTCAGCCTGCACACCCTGCCGCTCCCATCATCCAAACCCTCAGGCTGTAACATGTACAGCTCCTCCAGAATGATCCCATTGAGGAAGGCGGTGGTGATGTCCATCTGCTTCACTCGCCATCCACGGTTTGCTGCCATTGCCAATGACACCCGAAGTGTTGTGCCTTTCCCCACAGGAGCAAAGATATCATCAAAATCCTTCCCCTTTGTCTGCTGGAACCCCTTAGCCACAAGCCTTGACTTGTAGCGGGTCAGCTCCCCATCAGGTCCGTACTTGTGCCTGAAAATCAGCTTGGAAGAAATGGCCTTCTTCCCTGGAGGCAGCTCACACAGCTCCCACGTCTCGTTCTCCAGCAGAGAGTCATACTCCTCCTTCACACTCTGCTTCCACATCTCAGCATCGGGCCCACTCAAGGCCTCGGTAAGTGTCTTGGGCTCAGGGACGGCTGCCAAGTAGCAGTGCGCTATCTCTTCCTCATCACAGTGCTCAGCCACACTCCCAGCCCTTACCACACTTGGCTTCCCAAAGCTCGGATAAGTCAGCCGGTTAAGAGGGCGCACATCCCTCCTTGGACGGTCAGCCGGACGTGCGGCACCTTGTGGAGCATCTTGCTGCTGCTGCTGCGGCTGCTGCTGCTGCTGCTGCGGCTGCTGCTGCTGCTGCTGCTGCTCCTCCACCTCAGGTTCTCCCCCATCCTCAGTCACCCCAGAAATCTCCTCCTCTGAGACAGTGACCTGCACTTGCCTCGAAGGCCGCTGCACCTCATCGGCCTCAATGATCAGTGGTGTTGTAGGAAGCTTCTGCTGCTGCTGCTTCCACTCTTTGTAGTACAAGGACTCAAGGAACTTCACATCCCTTGACACAGTCAGCTGCTGGCTGGTCAAGTCCCAAATCAGCCAGCCCTTGTGATCCTTAGCAAGCCCCAAGTGCACACCCCATCTCCCAGAAGCTTCCAGTTTTCCCCTCTTCTCCTTAGGCACATGAAACACCACCATGCACCCAAAGGCTCTCAGCATGTTCACAGCTGGTGCACTCCCATACCACTTGGTGTAGGGGACCCATTGCTTGTCCCCCACTGTCGCCAGCACCCGGTTCTTCACAACAGCGACCTGCCGCAGTGCTGTCACCCAAAACGGATCCGGCAGCCCTGCACGCCCAAGGAGAGTGCGAGCACCTTCCTGCAGGGTCCGGTTGAACCGCTCAGCCACGCCGTTCTGCTGAGGGTTGTAGGGCACCGTGAGCTGATGCTGGATCCCCTTCTTCTTCAGCACCGCCTCAAAATCAGCGCCAATAAACTCTCCCCCATTGTCGGTGCGGATCACCTTGACCTTG